CAAGTTGGTATCGCAAAGCTGTCGGGGCGTCTCCAGACTTGCCTTCGCTGGTCATCAGGGCTCAGTTCAAAGTGGGACTCATCACTGAAGACTATTCTACTCCAGTCAGTGACATTCCAGTGCAAATGAGCCCGACACCACTGCACACGGGCTTGACGTTGTACAGAGGTCAATGGTAGTCAGCGCAAGGGCCGTTGTGACCTCAGCCCCTTTTCTGTAAGCTGTCTTTGAATGTCCTTGTGGTCACTGAAGCACTAGTTGCACGTACAATTAATGATAATGATGCATCTGATGCTGCGAGTGCCGCTCTGACGATTGCTCGGATCACCTTCGTTTCTCTAGCCTACGCTTCCTTCTGAACTGTATGTGGCCATGGTTCCCATTCTTGCCAACATCGTAATAGTGGCATCTCCTGCTCAAATGTCGAGCTATTTGGCGATAAGACCAACTACCACCTCTCTCAATCTGACATTGCGCTATTGTTCGGCACCTGTATGCGAGCATAGTTACTGTCTACCAGAGTACACGAATGAAATTCCTTACGATTTATGGACATGGATCGTAATTTCCTCTTAAATATCCTACAATTACGCAGATCAATGCGTGTGGACTATTGTTCATTCATTGGCAGCCAAAATGTAAAATTTTGCTTGTTCCGGCAAAGCCTGTATGCATACCAATTTGTGTCCAATCAGCTTTATATCTTCTCAGTGCGTCTTTTTTTTTTTTTTTTTTTTTTTTTTTTTTTTTTTTCTCTAAGAGTGTATATTTAAACTACCTGCTTCAAATACAAACTGATATTTTAAATATTTTTCTCCATTTACATGCTTTAAATCAGGTACAAGTCATATTAATGCTGTCTTACCTCTCTGCGTTACATGAAGTAAAAATAAGATTAAAATATCATGCTTATAACCATTAATAACTAATTAGTAAAATATATTGAATGAATTTATTGAAACACTATATATGATTTGAAATGGTTCAAAGCACAATAACAGAATTTGTATAATGGTTCAAACATAATTAAAAATTTTTGTCTTTAAGCTTGCAAAGCCCAGGAAGATTTAAGATAATTTTCCTCTCAGTATTGCAGTCTGCTTTACTAAGAAGAAAGGTCTTTCAGTATATATCAGGCATGGCCAAATTGAAGCTTTCTGCCCTTGAATACTGTTTTCATCAAAACAAAAATGTTTTATTTTAGAAATAGCATTCTTATAGGAAAACAGAAATCACATTTCTGCATACATTTTTAATAATAAGTTATTTCATTGATTTAAATTGCATGTGGAGTAATTTTAAGCAGCTTTTAACTTTTAGCCATTTTTATGACTTATTACTAGTGATACAGCTTTTTGAACAATTATCAGGGCAGCAGAAAAGACTAATACGTTGGCAGCATTCTCATACCTGTACAACCTGAAATTCTGGCAATCCACTTGTACTTAACTGTACCTATACTGCTGATGTACCTCAAATTTTACAGTATGGCACTATGAGTACTTAGTTGTAGCGTGCATCAGAAAAAAACAAAAATTTTATCTGATGACCCTGTTTGTATTTAATTAAATAACTTATGGTCATCTTTCATCTCTGTATGATTTTGTCCTTGCATCAGTTACGTAGGAAAAACTAAACTAATTATTTACGCAAAAAGTTGCTAAGTTGACATCATATTTTTAATAATTTTCATTTACCAAATTTCATTTTCTCTGCAGACTCTCTCTCTCTCTCTTCGCCCCTTTTTTATCTGAGAAAAATTATATTTAGAATACAGTTTATGGACTTTATACAGTTTATGTTTTTGCACTTTTTGAAGAGAAACATTGCTTTTCCGTAATTCAAAAACATTGTAAAATACATGGTATTAAAATTTATACGTGCAAAATTTGCAACATTATTAATCAGAAAGAGGGAAACTCAATCATTACTCTCACGTGGAAAGAAGACTGAAAAGATGCCTGAAAAAGGTATGTACTCTTCCTAATGTTTCTAGAGTTGGTTATCATTGATTAGCAACAGAAAATCCATCAATGCAAAAATCATTGCAAGGTCTTTAAACACATCTGTAGCAACAATAAGTAAAATAATAAACCAAGATTTGCAACTTGAAAAAGGTAAAAAAACAATGTTAACCAGTCGAGGCATGTGTCTCAATGCAGAACAATTTGTAGAATCTTATATGAAAACTATTTACCAGGGTAAAACATGGTAACCTTGATGAAGCATAGATTTATCTAAACGACTGCAATGAGAAAAGGTTCATTTATTATTGAAAACAGAGGGGAAAATGTATAAATCTGGTTCTGTCAATACAAAGAAAGTAAGCATTGTAAAAGGTTTATGATTGCCACAGAATTCTTCTACATGAGAAATTAAAATTATGAAAACTGGAAGAAAATGTTAAAATCAACTCAATGTACTAAGAGTTTTACATCCGATATTTACAGAAGAAATTCCAATGACTTTTAAAGAGTGAATGTTCAGCAACAAGTCATACTTCAAAATGTACCACTGCATTCCTTGAAGAAATGAAGAGTGATACAGGTATTGCATATATACCTTTTCAACATACTCCTGCCAAGTTCACTGACATTTCACCTATGGACCTTTGGTGTTTTGAGCTCTTTCCAAGTGCAAACCAACCATGATTGATAAACTCTGGAAAGTAGTGGAAGAGAATGGAAATTTTATAAAAAGACCTATCATGGAAATCATGATGCAGACTTAAATAGACCAGAAAAAAGGCTATCAGACTTAACATTAAAAAAAAATACTCTTTATATTCAAAGCATTAATTAAGTAACCCTAAAATTGTTCCAAAAATGTGTAAATACCCTCTGCATTTCTCACTGCACCTATGTCTGCTATAAACTCAATCTATAAGTCATATGAAGTACATTGTTTCATTTCATGAACACGACTGCAGTACAATGCTATGTAATATTTTGATGTTTCCCAAATTATATTATTTTTTTAAAAAATCCCTATTATATTTTTTTTATTTTTATTTTATCAGTTAAAATTATTTCTTTTTAATTTAATAGTACTATCCTCCCTGAGATGTAAGATTTTAACATAAGTTTTCAGAATGCAAATGCAAATATGTTTTTCTCTCCTCCTTCCAGCATTTATCTAATACAATGGAACCTTGAGATATGAGGAAAGTATAAGCGAAAAATTCATTCCAAATAGAACACTGACTCGAGCAACGAGCCAAGCTGTTGCCATGTGTGCATTGTTTCCCCATCCGGCTTGACTCGGTGAATCCTCTCGTTAGATCACTCAGTGTTCTTTGATCTATGTGTTTGTGCGTGTGCGAGTTGTTTTTTACATTTAACGTAAAAATGATTATTTCATGATGCCTCCCAAGGAGATGGCTGCCTCAGATAGTGCTGCAAAATAAAGGAAGCAGTGGCCATTGAAATTAGTAAGAAATCATAGATAAACATAAGCGTGGTCTAAGAGTGACGGAATTGGTGAAGACTTATGGCTGCGAGACATCGACGATCTGTACTATTCTGAAGAAGATGGAATAAATAAAGAAACTTGGTGTGGCCAAAGGCCTTACTGTTACTTCCAGGTACCATCCAAAACACCTAGCAGATGATGAGAAACTGTTGTTGGTATGGATTAACGAGAAGCAGTTAAAAGGCGATTTGGTGTCGGAAGCACTAAGGCTGAGAATCTGTACTGGACCTTCTCTGCAAAATACCAGGTGCATCGACTGAAGATGAGATGGCATGTATCCCCATCAGCAGTCAGGACTCTTCATAAAGGTAAACTATAGTTATATTATTTACCAGTGTTATTTATTAGAAAAACTTATTTTTTATGTTGATATTTTTGGGGGTGTGGAACAGAATAACTGGATTTCCATTATTTTCAATTGGGAAGTTTGTTTCTAGATACGAAAACTCGCTATACGAGCTCAATGCTGAACGAATTAAACTCATATCTCAAGGTTCCACTGTATTCACCCTTTTTTTTCCTGCAATTTTCTTAATAGTATATTAGTTTGTATGTGTATTACAAATTATCAATAATGTACATTATTATTGTAATTAAAATTCATACCTCTAAATAAAGATTTGTAACTTTAAAAGTAATATCTTCTGCTTTGAACTGGACAGGATTCTCAGAATTACCCTATAAAGTGAAATAATAATACTTAAGTATAAAAAAGTATTACTCAAAATAAAACATTAAGCGAAAATATTCATACAATTTCTAACCTGTAAAGAATCCAAACACCTGTGGTACCTAGAAGATAGATTATCAACTTCCAAGCACATCACGGTTGTCATCCTAAATAAATAAATTTTAGAAATGTATGGTAATTAAACATCATGTGAGTAAAATAAAAGAGATATGAAACTAGAATTGAAAAATAGGTATAACTGTATATATATATATTTACCAAGTGAGATTAGTGGCACATTGTTCTAAATTTTGTTCTATAGTTGATTGTACAAGAATAAGCTCTGCAACTTTTTGGAATGCTTCAATACATTTTGATGTAAATTCAGCTAAACTGTGAATGGCAGATCTATAAATTTCCTGTAATATAAAGTAACATTTAATTATTTTTAAAGATATACGTGCAAGATTAAAATATGTAAATCAAAATTCTAAGTAGCAATAGCCCTTTAATTCCTTATTTTAATTTGGGCATTTCCTCTTTCTGTTCTAAAAACAGCAAGAATGTTAGACTGCATATTTCCTATCATATGACTTTTACATAACAATGATGACATAGCTAATTCAGAACTTAACTCAAATTTCGAGAACCGAAGCTTTTCTCTTAATGAGCAGGCATATTGAATAACTGTGCACATTGCTTCTTCTCTTCTTGCTAAGACAATGACTTGCTGCTTTTTTCCTATCATAACAATATCAAAAATGTAAATGTTCTTGAAAAAGCATGAATAGTGTGTCAATCTGTGGATAAAAAAATTTGTATTGAATTAAAAATTAATATTTAATCTGCCTTGAATGCCAGTTTTGCTCTTCATTCACACCTCGACATTTATGCAATCAACTTTTCTTTATATTTCTACGACATAACTGCACATACCGGTTTCCAAAAATTAAGGAAAAGTCACAAAAATAGCAATAACTCATTAAAACATAAGTCAAGACTAGAGGCAGGATAAAGTCAGACAGAAGTAGCAAGGTGGCTAAATGGAAGTCCTTGTGTGGTTCAAAGACTTTGGTAACAATTTCTAACCACAGATCCAAGAGGTTCAGCTAAGGATGGCCAACCACTGTGATGAGTGCTGATGACCGATATTTGTTGTTATGCACACAAAGAAACAGAAATTCAACTCCAACGGAAATCAGATCCTCCTTTACTGCAGACACTGGGAGGTTGGTGTTAACGTCAATCGTGCACAGAAGGCTTCATGAAGGGGGTCTTTAAGCAGGGCAACCAGTCATTTGCATGCTACTCACATCATGTCACAGAAGGGGATGTTTGAGTTGGGTACATCTACAAGCCCACTGGACAAATGATTATTGGAGGGCTGTTTTCTCTATGGATGAGTCCAGGTTTAGTCCCCAAAGTGATAATATGCATTATATGATTTGGAGAGAACCTGGAACCTGCTATCATCCATCAAACATCCATGAAAGAAATGCATACACAGGAGGCAGTGTCTGTATTTGGGGTAGTAACTTTTTGGGTGGACGCACAAACCTCCATTGTCTTTCCATGTGGAACTATGAATGCTCAGGCCTATAGGGATGACATCCTTTATGCTTATGTGCGCCCTATGCTGCGGCAACAGGTGATAATTTCCTGCTACAGAACAACAATATTAGACTGCACGGGACATGCATCATGAATAATTATCTTCAGCAGCAACCAATTCAACGCATGGAGTGGCCAGCTCAATCCCCCGACCTGAATCCTATCGAGCATGCTTGGGATGCTTTAGGAAGACATATAGCTACTCTCAATCCTCCTCCTCAGAACCCTGCCACGCTTACAACTGCTTTGCAAAAACAATGCTTGTCACTTCCTATGGAACTCATAGACTGCAAAACTGACAACATCACACATTGCTATATGTGTTGTATTGCACTTATGGGAGATCATACTGATATTGAAGGTAATTTTCTTGTACCGAACTGACACATCCAATTTGTTCATTTTATATGTATGCAAATTTCTGTAACATCATAATTGTCTGGTAATTTCTTTTCATGTTATTTTATTCCTTACTATGTGTTGTATATTGTGGGTCAGTTTCATTAAATTCTACATTAATATTTTGAGTAATAGTCATGTTTGTAATTTTGCCTTCTTTGATAATCTGGGAGTGTGTGTATGCATGTATATATATATGTGTATATGTATATGTATATATATATACTCCAAGTCCCACCCACTACCATAAATTACTTCACCCAAGTCTTACCGACTGATATTATTCAAAGCCCCTACTGCCGCTAAGAATTTTCGGACACCCTACACTTCTGAGTCAGACACGAAGAGAACACTTTGCCAACTCCCCCACTAGAAAGAATGTAAGTTACTTAATACCTTTTCTGGCCTTTATATCTTCATGTACATTCACTGATCTTATTTATATTATTTTCTATATATTTTTTATATTATTTTTATATTGTCTTTGATTTGTTTTTACAAAGTTTGCATTATTATCTTTTTTTATAATCTTCTATGTTTATTTCAACTTTACTTTGAATTCGATTTCATAATGACAATTTCCAATGTTTAATTTCTACAAATAATATAGTACTCAAATGCATAAACATGAAAGTGTCGGGGACGGTTACTCGAGTTAAATAGGATTTCTCTACAGTAATTGACTTTTACTCCAAATTGAATTGACTAAAATGCTTAATAAGAATAAGTACTTTGAGTATCAGCATTGGTTCATAATTCCTTCTATACGCGGAAATATTTGGCCTGACTAGAATTGCCAGTTTGGCTTTAACTTATAACTCGAGTAAAGACGAAACACTTTCGTATTTACGTATTTTTATCAATTATTGTTCATTGAACGGGAGTTGGTTTGTTCCCCTTGAAAAGTCAACTAATTTCCGATCAATGACAATGATTACATGTTTTAATTTTTCCTTTTACAATTGAAATTTTATTCTTTGTGATGATTTAACTCCAGTCCCCGTTAAAACATTATTAACATTTTGCTTTCAAATTACTTCAAAACATCTTTCAAAATATAACTTACCAGTATGGATTCACACTTTTAAAATAATTCTAATTAAACTTAGGAGATAATATAATCAATTAATCAATACTGTTTAGGAAATACATTATTATTAACTAACTTTGCAGCATTTGCACAAGTAATAATAACTTGTATTCGCACTAAATGGATTTAAGATCATACAACATTATATATATATGTATATATATATGCATGTATATATATATATATATAAAGGTAAAATTTTTAAAGCAGCATTATACGTTAAAGGTCCTGTATTCTTTATAGCATTTTTTAAATATCTTATTTACTTGCATATTTTTGTAGTATATACCACTTCTTAAGAGACAAAATACTTTACTATTTGTGCACACATTTTACACTGTTGCTATAAATCAAAAGTTGTTAAATCATATGGTTACAAAAATATGCAGCTAAAACATTTGAAAGTTATGAAAGTACTCTTTCTTTTGAGAGAGAAATTATTTTATGAATAGAAGTTCATCAAATGAGATAAAATTTGAATATTTTTGGTAGTATAATTTTTTAGTATTTGTATATAAGTTCGCTCTGAAAGTCTACCTTAATGAATCTGTTTCTTAAATTAAAACTGTGGCTCTGTGACAAACCATTACATGAATACTTTGTTATGAAACCTTTCTGAATACCCTGGATAATCGATATGATAGTTGAGGGAAAAAAATTATCATTTCAGATTAAAAAAATTAAGCACTTATATATAACTGCTAGAATTTAATTAGTAAGATATACACTCACATCCAAATTTATATTTACATAACGTACTGTTATTCCATGAAATATCCAATCAATGTAATCTATTTTTTGCAGGGAATGTGTGAAAGATAAGCCTAATTCGCATTATCCAATCAAAACAAATCAAACAGTTTCTGATATGCAAATCAAGGCATTATGTTATTTGATGTTAATCAAGCACTTTGCACAAAATGAATATCTGAGAGAATTTCTTCAATACAACATTTGATTTCAGTGTGTAAAATCTCAAAACAATTTATTATGACTCTGAAGTATCATTTGGAAGAATGTGAAAAATAGCAAATCATCAGCCATTTAGAAGCAGGGCAGACAGTTATGGAGAAGCAGTGAGATGTGTGAATATTTCAAGACAAAAGTCTCTATGGTATCGAAATAACTCAAACTCTTATAAAAAGGTTTACACAATGTCATAAATAAATAATAACTATTTCTCAAGATCAACATCTGGCAATAACTTCCATTATAACAGGAAAGTGACTGGTTGGCAGCTCAGTTCAGAGCTTTCAGCTGCCATTGGAACTGTTGTATCATGACAAACCATACATAGAAGGTTTATGAAAAAGGTCTTTATGCCAGAAAGCCAAGGATGTGTGCTTCACTGTGTTCACAATAAAAGAGGGATTGCTTTAATTAGTGCAAATATAGAACTGGAGTGAACTCCAACAGTCCCATGTTCTTATTACTGATGAGTTGAGGTTCAACTCATCAGTAATAACTTAACATCCAGTTCTATAGGTTCAACTTAACATCCAATTCTATACCTCTTTACATCTAGAGGAAGTCTGGAATGGAAAATATCCTTTTCAACATTATGCAACGTAACTGTTCTGATAATGCAGGTATGACTGATCAGGGAAAAATAATGAACAAAAGACATATGCCCCTATACATTTTCAAGAATGGATCTGAGACAAGCCACAGATCTTAGAATAAAGTCTTTAGAATCTTATGCGAGACTTTACAAAGGTACATTGCGCAAAAAAAAGGGGGGGACAGTCCTATATTTCTTGTTCTACTGGGTCGATTGACGAAATTCAAATTGCATTTTCCATGTCTCGAAAGCATGGCTTAGGATATATATCAGATTTATATATATAGCATTGTTCTAGCATAGGTATTTTGACACAAAATCGAACTCTTTCTGAAATGGCATGCCAAATGTTTTCCATATTTCAATTCTATGACTCAAATTATGCCTAGATATTAGATTCTGTAATTTTTGGCGAGAAATTTATGGAGAAATTTCTTGGAATATGTTTCTCAGTTTGCACCAAGAATAATTCACTTGGCGAACTTTTTAATTTATAGCAAACTATTCTCCTTTCCTTTATATCATTACCCAGAAGCGGAAAAAAAGTCATTGTTAATACTTTCAAATAATTTCAACAAAGTGCATAAACCACATTTTCTTATTATCGCTTATAATAAATACGCCTAAATTCAAAGCTCACCAAAATGTAAATTCACATATATCTCAGGAAATTTTGAATAAAAAAACTCTAATTTTTTGCAAGGATGCTTAGAAATCCATATACTTTAAGAAGATGGCAAAAATTTTATAGGTTATAATTAAAATATTTTTTCAAAAAATTCATAAAAATTATTTAAAAATAAATCATAAGAACTGGGCAAATTTTATTTGGAATGAACCTAAATTTTGAAATATGAAAGGAAGAATCAAACACATTTAATAAAAAGAGAGATATTCATAAATATATATCAAATTCAATTACAATTAAGGAGCTAAAATTTTGAAAGCTAATTTTTTAAAAACTACTCAAACTTGGCATAATTGAGTTGTAGAATCGAAATATGGAAATAATTGGCATGTCATTTCAGAAAAAGTCTGATTTTGTGTCAAAATACCTATATTAAAACAATGCTTTATATAAATCTAATACATATCCTAAGTCGTGCTTTCGAGACACGAAAAATGCAAGTTGAATTTCATCAATCAGCCCAGTAAAACGGGAAATATAGAACTGTCTCCCTTTTTTTTTTTTTTTTTTTTTGCAGTGCACATATGGATCTGACTTTTTATTTATGGTTGATAATGCTCATGCATATCAGGCAACCTTTGTCGACGAATTCCTTGAAAGTGAAGACACTGAGCAACTACAGTAGCCTCCAAAATCTCCTGATCTTAAAACCCGACAGATAATTTATGGGACTACCTTGGAAAAGCAGTTGTATGAAGATATCCTCTTTCTAGAGATGTTAATGTCCTGAAAACAGCATTGCTGGAGGTGTGGTTTATTCCTCAAACAATGGTTAAAAATGTCATTGCCATCGTGATATGCTTGTTTCAAGTCAGGGGTAATCACACTCCTTCTGACTTCTTTTTTCCCTCTCCCCTTGAGTTCTTCTGGTAACATACTATTACTATTTTTATTGTTTCATGCTATTTTTTTTTATCATAAGCAGCACTGTTAATTTTTTCCTTTTTTGTTTCTACGTTACGACGTTATGTGTCATTCACACAAATTCACAAAATTACTGTTCACGTTTTCGGAGACATCCATGATTTCATGCATGTAAAAATAATTTTGCACATGAGCGTATATAGCATCAGTAAATTTTTACATTCAATTACAATTTTGATAACACTCTCAGGAATCTTACTATTTTACAACAATAAAAATTAATAAAAAAAGGATAATTATGACATTAAAACAAATTACTATTTTTTATGCCATAAGCTTATTAATTCTTAATTTTATTGTTGAGCAATGCTTCAGATTGATGGGAAGAAAATTATATATTAAAACAAACAACAACAAAAAATGTTATTTTTTCCACTTACTTCAGGAGTGGCTTCACTAATTTCAGTTAAATTTGAATGTTTCTTGATGTCTGCATCAATTTTTCTTTGAACCTGCAATTCACAAAGAATTTTTTTCATTTTTTAAATACTGTTAAATTTTAAAAAGATTATTAATGCATGTATGACAACATAATAGAATATTAATTACATTATGGTTGAAAATAAAATATGTACAATTTATTTACTTTAAAAAATAAATACACTTTTTTTATTTGGGGGGGGGGGAACATAAAAAGCTTTTCCATTAGAAGTTAATGATTTTTATACTTATAGAGAGAAATACCTTCACAATGTTATCCACATTCAAAGGCAAATTCAACTGCACAGCATATTTTTTATATTTTTTAAGCTCCAGTTCAAAGTTTTCCAATTTTTCACATTCTGGGGAATAAATTTACATTAAATTAAATGACAAATTTTAAATAGTTATTTACAACAAATATCTTACTTTTTATTATTTTATACATAAGTTGGATACAATTAAAATCTTCAATGAAATGCTTGGTGTAATTGTTAAAGAATATGCATAATATAATTGTATAAAAGCCAAGCTATACTGGCCATGCTAAGGATTTTAACAATCAGTAAATTCAATTTTTATGTGATTAATATATGCTTACAAACACAATGCAATCATGATTTCTTTAACAAAAATATAAAGCATTATATAGAATTTTTTTGGCAATAACAGAAAAGAGAGGGATTCACATGCTGATGGAGAATATTTTTCATACATACTAATTTTTTACTTATACCTATATAAGTAAACAACTTAATTAATCATAATAAATTGCCTAATACTAAAAGCTGCAAAGTAATAAAATAATAACTTATTTACTAATGGATTATTTAGTATATTATCTCCTCCAATAAAGGTAGGTAGAATTCTATTGAAATGAAGTAACTTATAAGCATATTTAAAAAAATTTTAAAAATATGCTTACAAATTACTTCATTTCAACAGAATTCTAACTACCTTTATCAAAGGAGATAATATACTAAATAATGCATTTTTGTTGTTAATTGATAGCAGATTTGTTCGTTCCCCTTGATAAGTCAATTAATCTGCAGTCAATGACAGCAACTACTTTTTCAATACTTAAAATGTTTACTTCTGATTTTGGTTTTTTTTTTTTTTTTTTTTTTTTTTTTTTTTTTTTTTTTTTAAATTCAGGATTTTTCTTTTTACTTTTTATGGTTTTTACTGCAATACAAATCTAGAAATACTAATTAAAATAGAGTATCAAAAATTTATTTATTATAATAATTTATGGTTTTAACTGAATTTCTGTTCCTTGGAAATGGTATTAAAAAGTTTTCTAATGATAAATTATATGTTTATTACTTTGCAGCTTTAGTGCAAGTTATGGGCTTATTAGCTTACTCTTAATTACTTTATTTAGAACTTTCATTATAATTTAATGGCAACTTTAGTGTTTTTTTAGTACAGCCTACTATCAATATATTATCTCCAAGAAATTTTTTTTCTTGCCAATTTAAGGCTAAACTGTGTAAAATCGCATTAAGTGTTAACATTTTTAACGATAACCCTTTTTACATTTCATCCCTGAATACAATTGCATTTACAAACATTTCGTTTTAAAGTTTTTGCAGACATGTAAAGTTGATTTTAATTTCCTTCATGAGTTTGATCTTTAAATGTCTAATTAACTACTTTTTTGTTAAACTTTAATTTAAAAGATTATGTAAATTTTGATCTTCTTTTAATTTTTGAATTTAACTTTTTAATATTAAATAATGTATCACTTTTGTTTGACTTTTGAATTAGGAGTTGAGAGTGTCAGGGTATGCTTCTCTTGTAAAGTGAGGATTCCGTTTAGTTGTGCTCTTAATGAACTTAATACAAAAGATTATCTTACTAATTTTATTTTGTTTATGAAAGATCTTTTGGCTAAAATGGACTAATGTCTTTCTATTGATTTAGAATGTACATGACTTGTGATCGTGCTCTGTAGAATATTAATTAGGTACTTACTTGGAAGAAATATGAAACACTCTTGCATAATTTGGTTGTTGTTAATTGATAGCAAATTGGTTAGTTCCCCAAGTCAATTAATCTGCAGTTAATGACAATAACTATTTTTTCAATACTTAAAATGTTTACTTTTGAGTTTGGTATTTTTGCGATTCAGGACTTTTCTTTTTACTTTTTTATTTTTTTACTACAATAGAAGTCTAGAAATACTAATTAAAATACTGTATAAAAAACTTATTTACTATAATAATTTATGGTTTTAATCAAATTTCTGTTCCTTGGAGATGGTATTAAAAAGTTTTCTAATGATAAACTATATGTTTATTACTTTGCAGCTTTAGCGCAAGTAATGGGCTTATTAATTTACTCTTAATTTATATATATATATATAGAGAGAGAGAGATAGAATATTCTTAGCTGCTATAAATTTTAAGACATTAGCATATTTTTGTGTTTTTATAGGCTTTTAGCATAATCATCAAAATTTTTAAAAATCCTTTAAATCATAGTTCTTTCTAATAAACATAAAAAATATTTATAAATTTCTTGTTTTGATGTTTTCTTAATACCAGCAAAAAGTGCCCTTTTAACACATACTAAATAAAAAAACATTAATAATTATTAATTGCAAAAACAATAATATAAGTTGGCCAAGATTATATTATTTTGTTCACTTATAACTGCATGATTACTTTTCATACTTTAAGAACCATCATATTTTCAGCTACATCATTAAAATTATATAATTTATAACAGATTTCATAATTATAAAAACACGTTGCTTCTTTATTAAAACTTGGAAAATTCAGTCTTATAGTCCAGTATTTACTTTGAAAGAAAAATGCATTTCATTCACTCACATTAGGCCTTTATATAATACACTATAAATGCTTTTAATCAAACCAATTCCTAACTAAAACTGAACTTTGGCTATTCAAGTTAGCGAATTTCCTTCAAGCCTAACATCTTTCTTTCTCTTACTATTCATAACCCCCCCCCAAAAAAAAAATATAGTTACTTATATGCACAAAATATAATTTTCTAACAAATGACACATGAAATAAACATTTCAGAAAATAACTAAATTCCTGTAAGGTTTATAATCTAAAACATTTAACAGCAACATATATAATATGCCCTTTCAGGGAAAAAAAAAATACCTGATAAATCATCAGCTGATGGAAGATTTTCACAGATGGTCTGAATCTCTTCCAGTTTGTTCTTAACCTCTGTATTCTTTGCATATTTTATCATGAGACGCTGAATTTTAGCCTGACTCTGCCTCGAAAGCATTTCCAAAGCTTCAAGATGCACTAGTCCTTGATATTCATCAAATATTTGACTGTAATTAACTCTGTCAATGTCTTCAGAACTTGGCTCGTCTTTTTCGTCTGCTGCTGCTTTGGCTTCTCTCAGTAACTAAAATAGCATAATGCAGTTGACAACATTAAAAAAATAAACACTTCATAACAGTACCACGTTATAAATATGCCTTACAATTTTATGCATGTTGGCCATTGTTTGAAAGGACTAAAACCTTTACTTTTATTATTATAACACCACATTCTCATGAAAATCAACTTCCTACTTGTAAAAAGCAGTCTTAATAATCATACTCTGTGCTCAAAAAGAAAGGGGAAAAAAAGGGAGTGCAGTTGTATATCTCCAGTTCTACTAGGCCGATTGATGAAATTCAAATTGTGTTTTTCCAGTCTTGAAAGCACGACTTAGGATATATATTAGATTCATATATAGCATTGTTATAATATACAATAATTTTGACACAAAATAGGACTTTTTCTGAAATGACAGGCCAATTTTTTTCCATATTTGAATTCTACGACTCAAATTATGCCTAAATATTAAATTTTGTGAAATTTACAGAGAAATTCAAAAATTTATCTTGGCATATATTTTACCGTTTGCGACAAGAATAATTCGTTTGGCGAACTTCTTAATATATGGCAACCTGTTTTCCTTTCCTTTTTTTCAATGTAAACAAGCGGGAAAAAGTCATCGTTCATTATTTCGAATAATTTTAACAAAGTGTGTAAACCACATTTGATGTTATCGCTTCTAACAAATATGCCAAATTTTTAAACACACCAATACATAAATTTATCAATTTTTATTTATTAATACGTAATTATGTATATCTTAGAAAATTTTGAATAAGAAACTGCAATTTTTTGCTGATGTGCCTAGAAATACATCTACATTATCGTAATGTTAAAAATGTTATAGGTTGTAATTCAAAATTTTTTTGAAAAATTTATAAAAATTATTTTAAAATACAAATTTTAAAAATAAATCATGAAAAATGGGTGAATTTTATTTGGAGTGGACCTAAATTTCGAATTCTTGAAGTAATTCGAATTCGAATCAAGCAAGCTTATTAAAAAAAAGAGATAGCAATAAATATTGAAATGTAAAGGCGCGGTGAGATGGCTTCCCCGCAAAGCAGTTTTAGGGTTGCCATAAAATGGCAAGAGAAGGCAGGGTTGCCACATTTGGTGAGAAATCGCCCATTTGGCGACAAAATTGGCGATATACCATGGACGGTTGGAGAACTTTCTGGAACGAATTCTTACCGGTTTAGTCCAGAATGTTCCCGAACACAAGCTGAAAGCTACATAAACCGTGCTGGTCCGCAGTCAGTAAGTGTGCTTCATCGAGAAGTGTGCGTCTCTCATCAAGAGTGTGTGTACCTCGCATAAAGTGCGAGAGAGTAGTATCAAGTGTGTCTCTCATCAAGAGTGTGTGAGCCTCGTCTAGCGAGTCAATCCCTGCGGAGTCGATCGAGTTGACAGCCGGGCAGCGAGTGCCGAGTGGGTCGTCGAGTCCACTGAAGGAGTCTGTTAGTGTATCGCGGTTAGTGCATCGTCGAGAGAGCATGTCAAGCTCTGGGAAAGTCTGAACCAAAGAGTCATTGTGCTCCTGCGTCGTCAAGTGCATCGCGAGTTGTAGCGTGGAAAGCCTTGAGAGTACATGGAGTTCTGAGAATGACCAAGCAGAGTCGGCTGTTTGCAGGAAGCTGTCTCCACCGTGATAGCCTGATAACCTGAAGGCTGTGCCGCTGATCATGTCAGCGTGTTTATAGTAGATCTTCAACGACTGTAAAACGTGTTTTGGAGCTGTCCTGACAATATTGTCTAAATAAAGTGTGTTTCGATACTTCATCAAGTGTCATCGTTATTCACTCCAAATCTACAAACCCCGTACGAACGTGAAGTAAGAAAATAATGCAACAGCTGGTGTCAAGAAAAGGAAGAGAAAAAAAAGTAACAATATATATCAAATTCAATTAACTTAGATGAGCTAAAATTTTGAGAACTAATTTTTTAAATACTCGTGCAATTTTTACAAAACTTGGCAGTTTGGCATAAGTTAAGTCGTAAAATCGAAATATGGAAAAAATTGGCATGTCATTTCAGTAAAAGTCTGATTTTGTGTCAAAATACCTATATTAGAACAATGCTACATATAAATCTGATGCATATCCTAAGTCGGGCTCTCAAGACATGAAACATGCAATTTGAATTTCGTCAATCAGACCAGTAGAACAGGAGATATAGAACTACCTGCCATTTTTTTGTGCAGTTTACAATTACTTTTATGCTAGAGCACCACCATGCAAATGGAGTTTATCAACTCAGAAGATGATATGTCTAAGCACCTATATACTGTGGTATATATCATTATAAATATTTGTCATTTCAAACAATCGACAATCTTTGTTAAGTTGCCGACACTTAACCCCTTCGAGCTGGGTAGCAAAAACGCGCGCTTATCGTGGAGGCTGGCAGTGTCTTATGCGAGCGTCTCTCCAGGGCCGGGAGCTTTTTTGCTACTAAGCCTAAATCCATGAAATTCCGAAGTATCAACGCATTGTTTAATAATGCTCTATAGAGTATTTAAATGGCTTATGCTTTATAGATATTTTTATATATATACGTTAATTACCTTATTTCTTGTTTAAATGAATATTTTACACCATTTTATTTTTAATTACTCACCATTTTATGACTTTTAAACATTATACATCTGAAAACTAAATATAGTACTTAAAATTCTCTTTTCGTATGAAAAATTTGAAAACAGGGATCTACACACAGTCCTATGTTACATTCCTTGCACTCCGTAATAAACTCATTCTGCCGTTTTGGAGGATTTTTCCTCAAATTTGCCGTATTGAAGGAATGTGACCATGGACGAAGCACTTCGTCTTCTCGATGTTTCGGCATGCAGATCTCCGAAATGTCCTGAACAAAGTTGATTCGGAAAATGTCTTTCATGATCAGAATCTTTCATAGAATCACTATCACTAATATCAAGAACCTGTTTCAGCATCAATATCTGAAATATTTTGCATCATTTTTGCTATTTTCATGCTCTGTTAAACATTTTCGACGCTTCGACATTGCAACGGTAAAAACAAGAAAGAATTCACGTCTAACAAGATCTAATTATTTTCTAAAAACTGAACTGCAAACCGAAATACTCAACGCTTTAGCGCATATAAAACTTCTACTTACAATAAACAACTACCACATGCGAATAAAGTGCAATTTAAAGAGACGTAATAAATCACGCCATTCGGAAACATTTAGTTCCCCGTTTGTTTATATAATCAAAAACACGTGTATGTGAGTCATGCTTCTCTCATTTCGAGTAGAAGGTCTAATGTACATGTACCTGAAACCATATGGACATACAGTGCCATCTTGTGGCAGAAATTATAGTTTGAAAAATGTTCCAGGACACTGGCACAAATACGTGACAGTCGGTAGTAAACGGGAAAATGCTCTGTCACGCCTGCGTGTCGGCTGGGAGGTGAGTGTGTTCGTTGCTGGCACGTAGACGTGACAGTCAGCGCGAAGGGCTTAAGACATCTAAATACAAGAGTCATGCAAAAATTTGAATATGTGAAGCATTTGCCTTGGATAACAATTGCAAAGCGTGATAAAATTAATATATGGTAAATTAAATGTTAAAATTATCCAATAATCCCTCAAAATTTCACCCCCTTCGCAATGTTATAAGCATATAAACATGCCATCTTTATACTTTTTAGCAATTTTTTTTTTTTTCACTTTAATAGTGATCCTAAAAGTTTTCTCTGTTGCTTGACTCTTCTCGTTAACATTGTGAAAAGTCAAAACAATTTAATCATGAAACGACAAAAACTTTTCATGAAATAACACAAAAATCACTTGAAAATTCAGTTCTATAGCACAGATTATTAACTAAGTAGCAACAAACATATTGATGCTCGTGGGCAGAGTAGCATTGTCTCAAAAGAGGTAAACAAGTACAGGGCACACAGTAGTGACTTGTCAAACTCAAGTCAAACAAACCTTGCATACCAAACAAAATTTTTTTTGGTCTAAACAGGACAGATACCAAGTTGGAAGCACTGCAAAGCAGTCATATACCGAAGTACCACTGCATGTATTAGCAAAAAAGCAAAATGCTTTTCTTTATGAATTGCTATAACAAATTAGCTATTCATAAATCTGAGAAACTGAGTTTACTAATAAGTTCTGATGACTGATCGTAATGGACTATCTAATTACAGAAAACATGAGAGATATTTGCCTGTGGCAAGCTTATTTTTAGCACAGGTTTTCTTATGGTAAATCACAGGAACTCTACACAGCCAAACCATTAGGAAGAGTTTTGGGTCACTAATGTGGGAGTGACTCTCAGGTTACTCTGTGTTGAGTGGCTGCAGGTAGCATATTTGACTCCTCATAATAATTATAATGATTAGGTAAGGTTGCTAGGTTGCGTGCTCCTACTGCATTTTAAACTCGAACGTATTTATTATTATCACTAGAACTCTTTATACACACATATATATAATTCATGAATTAAAGTGACATGAATTATAGTCCTTGTAGTGTGAGGAGTCTCTTAACAAAGTTCTCTCTAGTCGAGAGCTCAAGAGCATTGTAGATCTCTCTAGCCGTGAGTTCAGGAGTGTTCTCTGATGTTACTCCCGATGGTGAAAATCTTCAGACTGAATTAGTCACACCGCCTTAATCTTACAGTAGCATTTTACATCCTCTGATTCGTTATATCTGGAATGATATCAGAGGAAAAATCAGATCATTTGGTTTGTCACCCCTCCTGAAATCAAGAGGCTTTGATGACAGACAGGGTGAAGAACAATAAAATCTCCTGACACTAGGCAAGAAGTTATGACTCTACGATGTCAAAAATATGTCATGTGACACCTCGTAAAGGCTGGGAGCCATGAATTGCAGGGACCGCACACAATTTACTTATCTCTGTGTGGTCTACCACACATTCAACTGTCTGACATAGAAACGAGGACAAACTACAAGCATATTATTAAAAAAATTATATTTAAAATATAATACTACATAATTAATAATCAGTTTATTTATTGCTTTCATCTGTTAGTAGTTCTTTAAATGACTTTTAGTAACTAGAGCTTTTCAGTAAAATATTTTAGCCAAACAGGTTATTTGGCTGATGCACACTTTTTTACTTTTCCTTCTACTTTCAAATTAACTTTGCCCTAAGTATAGATACCTATGTATTCTAGGCCTTGATTAGCTGCTTTCCATATTACTTTGTTATTTCAAAAACTTTGCAAACTTTTTGCCTTTTTAAAAATATGCTTTCTAAATCATGAAAAATCACGATTTTTTAAAAACAATTATATTTTATGAAAAGTAATATCTTTAATAGTTATTAGAATTATCACAAAGGAATTTATACTAAAAAATTAAATCAAGTTTAACATGACTAATACATATCTAATAAAAATAAAAAATCCACATTACCTGTGACAAATTCATATTAGGTGAAAACGCAGCTCTCTTTTTTCTTAATCCTGGATCCCCCTCAGTCAAAATATCAAACGTTTTCTTACCAATCATTTCAAGTGTATCTAATCCACCCATAATGACTTTTGACCCCTGTAAAAGATAAGGTATATCTATATACTTCACAAAAATTAATACTATAAGCTATTTCAGTCACTCAAGGAGCTGTTAAGGTCTATTTATGTAATTTTTCAGGTATTTTTTATACATATTTTGAAAGTTTTCACAATACCTTTATCATATACTCAAAAAAAAACTTGTTAATAATACATGTGTCCATAACAAAGTCGACAACAAATTTCTAACCACATCTTCACTATACTGCTCAGTAATTTTTCAGAACCCCATGCAATACTTTAAACCAGGAGTTCTCAAACTTTGTACCACATAAATATAAAACAAATATATATGTACCACCATAAAAGCATTTCACTATTAAAAATCAATGCATCCTAAATGGAGGGTATATAATCAAAGAATAAAACCTTTTAAATTTATATTATTTATTAATATTTGTAAATGAAACTTTTACATTACAATAAAATGTAAAGTATATTACGAATATATAACAATTGTGGTAAATAAAGAGTAACCTGAGTCACAAGGCTAGCACTGGCAAGATACATTTGAAAAAATATATATTCTGTCTTTTTAACATTTTAGATATTACAAGGTTTAAAAAAATGGTGAATATTGTGAAATTTAGCCAGTTTTCTCGGCCTATCATTTCTAGAGCCATATCATTTTGAACATTCATTTAATTTTTTTTTTCTGTAAAAATTGTACCACTAAAAATATTGTAATGTATCACTAGTGGTAGGTGTACCACAGTTTGAGAACTGGTGCTTTAAGATATCTATATACAAATTTAAGATATTTAAATCTGCATTTAGCTTTTCTCTAGGTTTTTTTTTTCAAAATACAGTACATTTTTGTTTGCACGAAATATATATATAGTTTCAGAATTATTTTCCAACACTTACTTCATAAATATTGCTTCCCCAATTGTGTAAACAAGTATAAAAGTTTAAGATATGCTCGAAATTTCCCTCCTTTCAATTTCAAACTGATAATTTGTATTAAAAATGCATGTTTTCAGTACTAAAGTAGTGCGAAATTAAAGTTTATACTTTTCTTTTATATTTCATATCTTACATATATCTATTAACTTACTCAAACAGTCTATCAATTTACCCTTGCATATCTACTGCTACATAAATAATATGAGATTATTGAAAATTATCTACAGAAAAATTAAAGGAATCAACTTTGCATTATTTGTAGATTGTAATTTTCTCAAACAATCCTCAAAACTTGAGATTTTGATAATTCACTACTATCATACATTTATTCTGACAACAAAAAATTCAAATCATATCATAAACATTTGTAATGAAAAGCACTATTCTAAATAAATAGTTGTTTGAAGTATTCCAATAAATCTGACAAGTAAAAAACAATTATTCTTCTAAAATAGATATACAGCAATTAAATATTTGCTCAAAAAACCTCTTTTGTATCACCAAGAGAATTTTGTACTTGACTAAGTAAGACACATCCTTACTATGCATATATATCACAAAGAAATTTCATAGAAAACTGCCATTCATAAAAAAGGAAAACTAACAGTATTCTCCAAGACTTTGGTCCAAGAAGGTAACAAGCTCGGTCTGCTTTCACTTTTCTCATTTTCCTCTGCCTTTTCAGAATTAGAACTTTCTGCACCTGTCAATAAATATTTTCTTCTGTTTCAAAATATTATAGAGACATATTCACATATATAATACAAAATATGTAATTAGATACATGTATAACTTCTAAATAGACATAATATTTAATAAAAATGTTTTAATGTACTTCTATCAAACGTTTTTTACACAGATTTTAAAAATTAAGTAAATTATTCAGATCCTCAAATTCATGCATACAAAAAATAAAATGAAGAATATAATTTTAATATCATTGGAAAAACAAATGATATTAAAATTATATTCTTCTATGGAAGCTGAGACAGTATTTCTGCTGCTTATACCTAATTTAGTACACATCAAGAAATATTTTAAATAGCAAAATAATACAAAATTGTTCGTATTTAAATAAGCTGTTATCAGTGAATGGAACAATAATTCATAGATATCAATGGTAGACATCTTTCTTAACTAGGCAAATAAAGCAAGTATCAGATTAAATACATATTTGTTTAGCTAGCACAAATATAAATAATTATTAAATTAAGTAGCAATTTTTAACTAGAACAAAATTTTCCTTTTATGGCATGAAATGCTAAAAATGAAATATTAATTAATTTTCTAAAAAGGCAATGTTCCAAATTACATCATTTAGAAAAAGTAACACTGAGAAAAGATAATGCTTTGACAAGAAAAGAGTGTTATACCGAGCAAAATGTATTTCAGTTGAATGTCTAATGGGGGGTAGAAAGTTATGCAAACTTTTTTATGAACTTGAAAACCTAATTGTACAATGCAAATATAATAACTGTATATAAAAACAATATATATACATAACAACAATATATGTATGAAAGTGCTGCAGTTGATTGGAGCAATTACATGCGATAAAATAATAGTAATAAGGATTAGGATTCTTAAAAATATTCTTAGGAAACGATATGTGAGTATATGTGCTATCAGTATATATTCTTCCAATAAGTTACATCTCTTAAAATGTAAACTTAAAAAAAAAAATTATTTATTATACCTTTGAGTCTATGATAAAAGCAACTGTTTTATGCATCCTATCACACAGTCTGATCATACACACAGTTGCAGGAGCAATTCAAATTCATTTGTTTATGAAATAAATCTATCTGCACCGAAAGGACAACATTCTCTGGATTCAAAGATTACCCTCAGCAGTGTGGTTTTTCTAACATCCTTGCTCGATAAGTCTCAGTATTTTGTCATATGTAAAGACTTTATTAGCAGTGCTCAAGTAAGTGCTCTTAAGTGAAATTGTTAACAAATGAAATTATAAAAATATTAGAATTATAATCTTAGGCAGTATGTCATAATATACCAGACACATGAAGAGGGGGTTGCTTTTTTTTTTTTTAATTATTGACAGCCAGAGATAAAAGATTAATAACTGATTTTTTTAACTAAAATATTTGATATCAGCTGAATATTTAGAAAACAGTAAAGAGGATGAAATATTACCAAGGATTGCTTCCTATGGATAAGAAAATTCAAAAAAATTTTAAGGTATTTAAATGTTTCCCTACTAAAAATGTCGCTTTACAAAAATATATACTTTCTGAAATGAAAAAAGAACTTATGCTAATATTAGATTCTAAAACATGCTGGAACATTTTGCTTTTAATGATGAAATTAAAAAATCTAATTCTAAAAGCATTAGACTTAAATTTACAAATGAATTTTTCCAATAGTGAATTTGATTTAATTTTTAAAACTGTGTCAGCTCTGCTTCCAATAAAGCTGGCTGTGGAGGCATTATGTCTGAAGGATTCCAATATGTTAACTTTGAATGCAACAATAATTTGTATGTCATGAACACTTAAAAATTAAGACACAGATCCATCTGATGAAATACAGTACACTGGAAATGTACACAGAGGAAAGACATAGAGAAATAGAAAATATTTTGAGGTATTTGCATAATCAAAATGGCTTTGAAAAAGAAAAAGAATAGAAAGAAATGAGGCTAACAAGTTCAATTTTAATTAAATTCATTGTAAATTTGCACAAAAAAAATTATGAAGAGTAAACACAAGTTTACCCAAAGGAATTCATTGAATATGATAATGATGTTAATATTGGAAAAGAATTGCCGGTACTTCTTTGTTATAGCAGCCCCCCCCAATCAAATGAGACATCACCAAAATCTAGCTATGCGTTCTTATACCCCACCACATTATCATATATTAGCACAAACTGCATGTTCTTATACCTCACCATATAATCGTATATTAGCACCAGCGTGTTCTTATATCATCCACTTTTGATGAGGTTCTTGAATTTGCATTGTTTATTTTAAAATATATTCATTGCCCTTTTTCTTTCCCCCCTTTTTTGTGTGTGTGACTATTACATTAACAATTTTTAATTTACCAAGTAATGAGGTGGATGCCATATAATTTTTCAAGAAAGAGGTCTATTACCTGACAACTGAGTATGTGAAAATGGCCACAACATGAAATTTTATGTTAACAATGAGCCCATTTGGAGGTGCAATGTCAAAAATTGCAAAAAGATGAAGGGCTTCCATGTTGGAAACTCGTTTAGTGGTTCCAGAATATTGTTTGTCACTGCTATTAGATTTTTGTAGTCTTGGGCAGAGGAGGTGACATCCATGAAATGATGTAACACACAGCTTACTATGTATGAAAGTGCTGCAGTTGACTAGAACAATTACATGCGATAAAATAATAGTAATAAGGATTAGGATTCTTAAAAATATTCTTAGGAAACGATATGTGAGTATATGTGTTATCAGTATATAATGTGTTGTTTATTTTTACATTCACGCTTCACGAGTTTGGCAAAATTATAGCTGAGATCTTGGCGCAAATCTAAATCACCAAATATGGTTGGGGGCCACTACAACAAAGAAGTACCAAATTGCCTCTCGAGAAGAAATTACAATTAGGTATAAATAAAAAAATTGCCACAAATAATAATACAAAAGTGATAATAGATTTATTTCAAACCATAAGATAAGAGACCAAGTTGTTAGAAAATGAAGGACTTTGATGCAAATATTTAGAGGAAGTACATGTCTCATTATTAGCAATACCATTAACTGACATAGATGCAGAAAGATCATTTTCAACTGCAGGTAATTTGTGCACAAAAGTACATTCCAGGTTTAATGACAGTTCAACAGATGTATCTTTTTTTTATGATCACATTTTTAAAAAATGCATTTAAGGAATTAGTTGTCCCCACCACCACTAACAGATATTATAGAATATTTAGTAAGATTTTTATGATATTTGCTCCTCTTAATGATACTATTATATGTTTTGTTCCTTTATTGAATTATAATACTAAAATGGTTTATTTTCTATATGATATTTTTTGCTTCTAAAGTTACAAATTATTATTTTACTGGTGTTATTAATAATTTGATTATAATGTTTGGTCCTTTATTTTATATTTGTACATAAAAAAAGGTTCTTATTTTTATAGTTTGTTCTTGTATAAACAAATAAATATGGCAAAGAGCCAACTGTGTTTATGTACTTAGGAAAAAAAAAATCTGTGTTACCCCAGCACAAATTAAAAAAAAAAAAAAAAGACTTAGAAAGAAACTGTTTAGAAAACACAGCCGACACTGGCAAGCTAGAGAGTCCATGCAGCCGACTTCCAGTGACTAAATTTCTTTTCTTTCCTTTCCTTTTTTTAATGCTTAATGTTAGTCATTTTTTTTTACCATTTTCCAGTTTTCCAGATGTAGTTTTTTATTGTAATGAGGTTAATTACTGTTTTCTCTTTTTGTAATTCTCTTTTTGTATTTTTTCATGCTCCAATTTCATGCATCTTTGATGCATAAGGGCCAATGATGTATAATCAAGTGCCTTTGCAATTAAAAAAAAAAGTTTAAAAAATTCTGAATACCAGTACTATATTTTTGGTGTAGCATTAACAAACACTAATGATAACTGTCAATTTCAAAGAGTTTGATTAATACATAACATTCTTAAAGAGCAGGGAATGTTGTGTATAAAATAGACACAATGTTCCCAATCCATCCAGGCATGCTTAGCAACTTTATTACAGCAACATCAATATTTCTTTATGACACAGAAATTGCCCTCTTAATGAATGATAATATTTACAAATTCTCAGTTCTAAAAGCTGCTGAATTATTTAGCAAAATTAGCTGCTTGGATATTATTCCGCAGATCGGCTAGGTTGCATGATTTAGTGCCAATTATGGATGACCATATCTTCTACAATTCTGCATAATTACTGACAACTGTTGCTGAAATTCTCACTAATGGTCAATGGAATAATATGCAAGTACCTAAAATTATAACTTCTGAATAATTTTACTGGTATAATGTTCTGCAGAATAATTGTGATTAAGAATCAAACAATAGTTTTATTCAGTTATTAATATGTAATATATAATCTAAATTATATTTTCATATTGAAAGAAAAATAATTACTTTGAGGAACTTTTGTCTCAGATGGAGAATCATTTGTATCTTGCTTATTCTGGGCAGTAGCTAATTCTTCTGGTGGTGGAACTCCAAGTGTATTTTCAACTGTTTCAAGTACAGTGCCAATACCCTGAGCTAAAGAAAAAAGCATATGACTCATTGCAAAATCTCAAAGGGAATATATATACATAGAGGCAAAAAGTACAAAATTTAGAGCCTATATTACACAAACATCCAAGGAAAGTGAAATTCAATACCAATACATTTCAAAATATACTATTAATATGCAAAATAAGAATTTAAGAAATGTGAAATTAAAACCTAAAAAATTATAAAAACCTGAAAATGTATATCAATACCATAAAAATATAAAAAGAAGAGAAATTCAATCAAATCTCATGTAATGTTATCATCAAGAGGAGGATACATCAAACTGACTTACAATTCACTATTGGATTGCTACTTCGTCCCCTAAGTAAGTTTTAAATTCATGTTTTTTTGTTTATTTTTGTTTTTTATTTCAATTTTAAATTCACTGCAAAAGTCTAATTTTATTCTTTTACTTGATTTAACATTGAAACATTTTTTTTTTTTTTTTTTTTTTTTTTTTTTGCGTTGAGAAGGACTTCAAAATTTTCAGATAAACCATTCATTAAAAAACTTAAATAATTAAATGTTAATTAAAAATAAACAACACATTACCAATATAATAATAATACTCACATGTTGCTTCCTAAGAATATTTTAAGGATCCTTATTATTATTTTATTGCTTATAATTGCTCCAGTCAACTGCAGCACTTACATAGTAAGCTGTTTGTTACACCATTTCATGGACGTCATCTCCTCTGCCCAACAATATATAAACCTAATAACAGTGACAAAAGATATTTTGGAACCTCTGAACCAATTATAGAATAGTTCATCAGCTAATTTTAAGTACAGAAACGAAAGAGTTTTCAACTCGAAGAGGGACTGTAATTGAGTCCGATGTATCCTGTGCGTATCTTCTTCACAGTAGTTTTTTCAGATCGTTGAGCATTTTCCTGCACTTGACTAGAATCAGGATGTGTAATCATACAAATATTTGATGCCCCATTGAAAAGAAATAAGATTCAGATCTGATCGCCACACTCACCATGGATGAAACACAGATTCCTGTATTAGGGCTAACCGGACCAATATGAAGACTGAAGCCCCACAGTCGGCTTTCTCAAGAGCAGATACTTCGGCACACCCAAGCTGCCGACACTAAGCTCAGGAGACTAGCCGATTAATGTCCATGAGGATGACAGAGTGCCTCCTTTTTAATTAAAGCAGAGGCCAAAGCAACATCTTGGCAACAGTACTTCACTCCTACCAGGACCCTCCTTTACAATGCATGGCAAACATGTGGGCAGTTTCCTCGCCACTTGAAGTCAGAAACAAGAGCTGTTCCAGTTTCTCATAACAAGCCCCAACCTCCGAAGAGGAAAACCACAAGGTTTTCCATTGTTAAGAAAAGTTTCCCCTTGTTGGGACAAAAAAAGTTACGATTTAGAGGACAGAACGCAGAAAAGATGATAGATCACTGAGGTTCCAGGATCGTGATACCCGTCTCACCAAGATGACGGTGAGAAGGGGTGGCCATTTTATTGTGGAGGCACCTAATAGGCAGCCACCATTACATCTTATGAGAGGACAGACAATTTACATCCATGCCTTCTCAGAAATTCAAACCCTTTGGTGTCGCAGTCGACTCTCCTAACCGTTATACCGTCTGAGCGGCCAGCTTGGCCGTCGATGTAGAATCACAGCCAGGTAGTCCCCATGATTTCTTCTCCTTTCGGTTATCATAGTGAATCCATTTTTCATCACCAGTGATTATACAGTGGAAAACAGTCTTTCGTTTATGCTTGGCAAATAGCATTTCATGCGTAAAAAATTGGCATTCAATGTTTTTCAGCTTCAATCATACGGAACCCAATTTCCTTGCTTTTGAATCATTCCCAATGATTTTAAACAATACAAAACTGCTTGTTGAGTCACTCCTAATGTAAGTGCAAGTTCTGTTTGCATTTGGCATGAATCTTCTTCCAATAATGTTTCCAATTCTACATCTTTGTACACTTTTATCTTTCTGCTCCGTTCTTTGTCTTTGATATCAAATTCATCATTCTTAAACTTTTGAAATCACTCATTACAACTTCTCTCACTTAAGGCAGCCCCACCAATCTATTTCTACAACCAATCAATGTGCCTCAGCTGCAGATTTCTTCAAATTAAAGAAGTAATTTCGGATTAAAATAACATGCCAAATAATGATTATTGGAGAAGACAAACAACAAGAATCAGCGTAATATTTGTAAATCTTTGACTTCTCCAGTTAAAGAAGTAACTAAAAAACTTCCTGCAAATGATGCTCATTCAGCTCAAAAGTCAACATTTTTACAGGAAAAGTATATGATGCTAATATAAAATCGCTAATATTTCAATGTTATATTGTTAGCAGATGTGCAGCCTTACAATCTGACATTTTACATCAGACAATTTTAAACATAGCTTACTGGTGGCACTATTTTTTGTCAAATGGCAGAGACTTATTTTTATTCCCAATGCAAGCTACATCAGGTTAAAAACAATAACTCAATGTCACATAAGTAATCTTGAGTCAATCAATGTCATTACCTCTTCACTTCGATTATTTTATTTTACTTACATTTATTATTACTATTATTATTTATTTATTAATTTTCTCTATCAGGTCTATACAAATAGTACCAATAGTAACCCTCATCTAGAGGTAATAAGATTTCTGGTTTACATTTCGTTCCATTCTGAGCTCTGATATCTCATTACACAAATATTTTTTTGGTATTCTTCTGTTATCAGGACCTGAGTTAGAAGTGTATGTATGCATGTATGTATGTGCATTTATGTGTAAGTACACACACAGATACATATGTATATACACATATACATGCATACATGAAAAAATACATTCATACATACATTTCTGGACCTGGTCCTGATAACAGAAAAGTACCTTTTTTAGACATCTTGGTCAAAATGTTATTTTTAATGGAGGTTCTTTTTCACCTAAAACATTGACACATAGCCGCTGCAACATGACTCTTCATTTTACTTTTTAAATTCCATGCCACTTTTATTATACTTTGCCAGCTATGTAGACAGGAAATTAAAAATTAGCATTAACAATTCAGAAATATTAGAATCATTTAATGTGTAACATATAACAAAACCAGCCTATAGGAAAAATTAGATTACACTGAGATAAATAAAATTAAAAATAAAATTTATGCTTCAGAAATGTATATAAAATCCTTTTCGATAAAAAACAATTTCCTATTAGAGATAAATTTCTTAGTTCATACAATAATTTGAAATCTGTTAGGCTGATATTGAAATTACAATTTTAGTAGTCACAATTAATTTCAGTTACAATGCAGTCTTTTTTAGAGGTGGTCATCTACAGAAGGCGGTTGCCACAGAAGGTTCAATGTATTTCGATAACTACAAAATCTATATAATAACTACACATTCTCCTTATGTATTGCATATTTTTCTTACCATAAGTATTTATCTTTTAAATACCTAAATTAATTATTAAGATAGCAATGTTGATTAAAATCATATCTTAATAAAAATTTTAATTTGTTAATTTCATGTAATGCCAAAATTCCTTACTTTAATTTAGGATATAAACTAAATTTTGAGAAAAATGAACATAGGATGTTATTAAAATATAAGATGTTGATTAAAAAATGTTAATCAATATGCACTAATCAACAATAAATTTTCAAATTTACTTACACACTTGACTTGTAAATGTTGTAACAGAAGATGCAGCAGTAGATAGCAAACTGGTACCCCAGCTACTGAAACCCCAAGAAGATGATGACTGAAAAAATAAATATGTATTAAATATTTTAAAAAATGAAGTAATACTTTTCAAGTGCTACAAGTATTTTCTATGGCATTACCTTGTATAGCATCAAATTTTAAATTAATATTACATAGGCTTTATATATTCAAGTACTTACCTATTTAAACTAAGCATCAAATGTTTACATTTGACATACAAAATTTGGTGTAACTTAAATATATTTAAATTAAGCGGTAAAATTAAATACTAGTAATTTTACTCTCTTTGATTTGGCATTTCATTAAATAAAATGGCAAAAATAAAAATCTTCAATATGACTATAAAATAAAAACTAATTCACTAAGAAAACATAATGGCAAATTTATCTATGATGTCTAAAAAATCAGAGAGTTTAGAGAATTAACTATTTTGATAAATCTCATAGTGTATCAATTTTTTTTATCATTCAAAAGATTTTTAAAAGTCTTATTATATATTTAAATAACTTTGCATAAAGCACATAAATAAAAATTAACAATAGAACACATGTATATATCTTATGTTCTCTGCTTCAGGAAATTAAAATTTCGGCAATTAGCAGACTACTGAATCATTCACTCAAAAAAAAAAAAAAAAAACACTCAAAATTAAATATATTCATATTTGCTTATTACTATTCCTCATTTTGTAAATGATGCCAAGATTATTGATAAATTACAGCTACAAACCATTCTAAAATGGTTGGTAACCCCAATCATGATCATTTACAGTTTGCTCATGACAAGAAGAGCTCCAAGAGAAATTTTCCTTTCTTTATACAAATGTAACAATCAATGATCACTTATAATTCTCTGGTCATGGGAAGAGTTGAGAGTATCCCAGCTGCTAACTTATATTCTTTTTTTAAAAAAATTTTTAAAATGTTTGATTGACTGAGATGTGAGAAAAATGTTGTGTCTTTCTCCCAAGCATGACACTTTTTAGCTTACATTTGAACATGCCAAAGCGGTCATTAAATAAAATTACATATCAATGAAAGCATCTGGAGTGCAACATGAAAAGTTGCAAGTGAAGGAAAAGCATCAATTTTGGCAACTGATTTAATGGTTTTTGAATACTATTTGTAATAGTACAGTTATTTAATTTACTATTGAAATGACAGAGAAAATGACGTCAATTACATGATCGGAGGAGCAACTCTTCGGATATCTTTTCAACTTTGAAATACAACTAATGACTAAAGCAGTTTTTTGACAAAGATTTTCTATATCTGATCTAACAACCAAATACGTGGACCTGAAAAAATTGTGGATGTTAATGAAAAATCAGTTCCTACAAAATAAAAATAATGGTGGCAGAGTCCTTCCACTTGGTGCCTTATTCAGAGAAACTGGTGAGTTCTTTCTCACACAGGATCTGAAGAGAGAGGTAACCACACTCAAAGAAAGATGTTGACTATGTACAAAAGCTATCCGCAATTTATCCAGACTATCGGTAAGCACATAAAGCATACCTGGAAAAAGCAGGTCAGAAGCATTTTACCATAAATCATAAATTTAATTTTGTTGATTCAACAACAGTTGGTAATACACAAAATGTTGAAAGACTGCAGTGGTAGAATAAAAATTAAAGCACAGCCTGCCATTATCATTAATCTTGCAAAGTTCATTTCGAATCATTTGAATCAAGAGTTAATTTGGTTAATTTTTTAAGAGTCCTTGGGACAAGAAAATGTTTCTGATGCCAAATTTAAAGCAATTCTGGAAACATCGCAGCCACAAAGTGTAAGTGAGAAGTAAACATAAACTTGGCAATAACCTTTGTACTAACTTCATGTTTAAGAAATAGGAGCCATAATAATAAGAATATACGATTTAAGAAACATGCTAATATTTACAAAACTCAATGGTGCAACAGCCCTAATAAGCCAAGGCCTGCAGTGCCCCGAAATCTGCTTTCTTGATTGTGGGCCCCGGGGTGCGTGAACATGCCCTGAACAGCAGGGCCTCTGGTGTTTAGTCCCCAAGCAAACTTGGTACTCATTTTATCAACCCACTCAAGGAATGAAAGGCTGAGTCAGCCTTGCCCAACCTGGGAATCGAACCCCGGACCTGTGGTGCTGCTGTGCGATGCACTAGCCACTGGCGTCCCTTGCTAATATTTACCCATGCTTATTATTTCTGAAATTAAAATCTCAGCAATTTGCAAATTGCATTATTAAACCATTCCTCATTCAAAAATAATTAAATGTTTTCCATAATTCCTAAATGCAGTTTTATATTTCTTCATTTACGAAATTCTTAAAATAAATAATTTTTTACAGTTCTTTATTTACCAAATTCTTAATAGATATACATATGACTTACAGTGGTGAGAACAAATCAAAAGAAATTTAAAATACTCAAGAAAGTATTATATGAATAACATAAAAGACTAGTAATGATGAGAAAACCATAAATATGGTAGTTCTAATATGCCTATAACTAATTTCTTACCACATAAATCAGATGAGAAAATATTTTTACACTAAAGTACATCATTAACAAGTTGAAAAGATGTGATGCATATCCCGTTGCATACATATATATATTCAGATGGGGCAAGAGGTTCAATAAGCATTAAACTAAGCACTTGTACAAGACACATGACTAAAATTACTTCCTCAGTTTCTTACTCTGGCATTTCTCAAATAGTGATCCTCCTACATTTAAAAATGCCAAAAAAATAAATTTCAAATGACATCATTTCTGCTGAATGCATATCTGAGCTTAATAAATGGTGATTACAATATTCCAAATTATGGTATCAACTTTGAACTCATTTAGTAAGATAGTAACTAACATTCAAGTTAGTAATTAATACCTACAGGGTGATTCGCTACCAAACTGACAAACTTGCAGGGTGTGTAGGGGATACAGAGAGAAGTCTCGGAATCACATAGGAATGCAGGGTCGCAAATGCAAGTTATGGTGCAAAGAAGCAGAAAAAGAACAGAAACAGCAACACATTAAAATATTTTATTGAAAGGTTGTACTACAACCGGTGTTCGAAATTGCGATCAGAAGTGGTCTGGGAGGCCTGAAAGTGGCACTGCATGGAATTCCTTACGTTCTGGAATACTCCTGGCATGTCACTTATCTTCCCGATAGCTACACATATTCGAGTGACTAGGTCTTCAACTGAAGGAATGGACATCTCATACACCAAACCCTTCATGTGACCCCAGAGGAAGAAGTCCATGCATGATAGGTCCAGTGTAGGTCTGTGTGGCACCAGTATGACCGGGCTTCTCCATATTACACGACTGACGTCCACCGACACCTGGGCATAACCTTTGGTCGGTGGGTAAGTCATGGTGGCCTGGTTCATTAGCCCGTCAAATCACTGGACCTATCATGCACGGACTTCTGGGATCACATGAAGAATTTGGGAACCTGCATTCCTATGTGATTCCGAGTCATTTCTGTACCCCCTACATACCCTGAAAGTTTGTTAGTCTGATAGCAAATCATTCTATATATTAATTAAAAATTAATGCTAAACTTAAAATACCTGCAAAACTCGGAAATTTATTTTTTATCTTTTTTTTTAACTTTATAACAACATACTCGAGGAAATTTTACACTTTGATAAAGAACTGTTCTATTTGAATTTGTTTTGCATTATTTATCAACAGTTCTTCAACTGTATTTCCAAGTTTGTAAAACTGTTGGTAGCTTTATCTTTAATACTTTTTCTTTTCTTTATCTTCCTTTTGGGGAAGATTAAAACTGTTGGTAGCTTTATCTTTAATTCAAAAATTTTTCTTACAGTTTGAAGTGTTTCTCTCAATTCATTTGAGCTTGGCATGTAGTCACTTTCACAGTCATTTTCAGCAGCTCCTTTAATATGTTCTATAATACTATAATCTGCATTTTCTCATGCTGTCTCAATATTATCATCAACTGTAATGTATTCTAAAAACAAATATTTATTATTTCCTTCACTGGTGTCTGCAATATTAGAAATAGCTTACAATTCCTCTATTGCTTCTTCTAAATAAAAACTTCATATTCTAGAGCAATTTCTAAGTATGTTTTGGGAGACTGCTTCCCATGCATTGACTATAATATGCATAGTCTCTAACAAAGATATCAACACAGTTATCTCCTTCAAAGTGCTTACATTTTACAAGATTCGATTTTGTTTATCTTTTTTTGAATGACATCTGTCATGTTATTAAATTTGAAACCTTTTATAATACCTTTGTCTAATGGCTGAATGATAGAAGTCATATTTGCAAGAAGAAATACTAATTTAATGTTTTTCAAAATCAGGGCAATTACTAGGCCATTGGCTACCTGTACATTTTCCTAAGATTGCCATTCCCATATTTAAAAAAAAATTATCAATGATTAATAAAAAAATTTTTCATACTCACTACATACTTACAATGATTAAAATATTAAATTGTGATTTCGCGAGAGTCCAGCTGCATGATTTCCGTCACCTGCATACTTTTACATGCCGCACCTCCACTAGGAACGGCCCTGTTCAGAACAATATCAGAGGGATGTGCAGCACAGTTATCTAACAGTAAAGCTATTGTTTTCAATTTTCAGTTCTCTGTGCCATTTCAAAAAGAAATCGATAAAAATGCTGCTTCTCATCCATGAGTTCTTGTTATTATGGTAAGGTAAATTAGACTTCTTTTAAACATCAAGGTTTTCTACTCTTTCCAATAACCACTGGTGTATTTTTAATTATTACATCCATATTGCACATTGATAACACAGTAACTCATTCTTTTAATTTCTGAAGACCAGCTACTGTTTCACATTTAAACATTAATGTATGCTCCGATAATGCTTTATAAAACAGACCAGTTTCATTTGTGCTAAAAATTTCATAGGGCTTGGAGAAGCTTGGGTGAAGCGTCTTCCATACATTTCTCAGCTGAATGATGATCAGCTCCTTGCTTCTTACTGCATAGTTTTCGATAAACAATGTTATTTCTCGCTTTCCATCTTGTAAGCCATCGATTAGTTGCCACAAAA